ATTATTACCTCAAGATTATTTACGTACACTGACAGCTATTCGTGAACGCTGTGTTCAAGTATATGAAAACCGTCAAAACCTTGTTGCTTTCGATATAGACGAGTCTCGCTTACCAGACATTGTTGAACACGTTGTGAGCACAACAACACGTCGTTTCCCTCAATTAGATCAAATCCCTCCTCATTCACGTATGCGTCATTTTGATGCCTCTCAATGCAAGCCTTGCGTAACCGTTGGACGCATGACCAAGTGGATGCTGTAGAACAAGCGCGTCGTTTAGTCGATCTGGTTATTGTTTCTGTCTTGGTTGATGCAGGTGCAGGTCAAGTATGGAAGTACAAGACAGAACAAGGCCAATCAATTGGAAGATCAGAAGGACTTGCTTTGGCTTCTTTTGATATGTTCTTGAATGGGTATTTTTCGAGTCATGCTCAGGTTCCTGATCGTGTCGATGGTAAGACCAAAACAAACGTGGGAAACAGAAACTAAATCTGCATAGCTACCGGACTAGATCAGATTACAGTGGACAAAATGACAAAGGGATTTCAAGTGACTGATGAGAATCCTATGGTGGGTTTAGAAGGTCGCTCTAACCTATTGAAACGTCTATCTCAAGTATTGAAAAATCAACCTATTTATTTCCCTCCTATCCACCATGAATCTCCACGACCTGGCAACTTGATTGGTAGAGTCTTTATGATGTTCTTGTTTCTTATACTCTTATGCTAGATTTCCTATTGTCTTCTGTAAAGCCAGGGGAAAAAACAATCCGTATAGAAACATTATGGGAAGCAGTGATGAGTTTGGGTGGTATTTGGCCTGCACGTATTCAAATCAATGGTGTTGCATTAGGTGATGTCTGGCCTTGCGCTTCTCTTGTAGACCTTGGTAACCATGAAAATTTGGTTCCTTTTCATAAACTCTCTCAATGGCTAACTTACTCATTGATTGAATCTATCGAAATCTCACTTGGTCTTGTTATTGAGGGTGTTGAACACATGACGGGTCTTCCGGAATACAGAAATGGTGGTCTTTTAGTTGACTATGGTCTATTGACCTTGAAGCCTGAAGAATTAAAGCGCGGTGGTGCCTTGAGAGAAGGGACCTGCCTTCTTTTGAAGGTTCGGATCCTGTCATTATTGAATGGCGTGCATTGACTGTTGTCTATTTGGACAAGATCAAGGCACACGTAGAGCAAAAATTAGGTCAAAAGCTCTCTTTGGCTCAGGTCTTGGAAGGTGGTACCTGGACTGCCGGAAGAGAAATTGCTGCTCAGTTGAGACCTAAAGATGGTGGCCCACCTATTATCATTAAGGTATGGATTGGATAGCATTTTTAGCTCTTGTTTACTGATTGTCATACTATTTAGAGTGATGGAACTATTTTTTAGAAAACAAACAAACAAAACATAGCATACAATCTTGATTACAACTAGATTGCTGTCTATAAAGCTCATTTACAAAAGTGTCAAATATACCGAGAAACGTTTATCGTGAGCAATAGTCATTGCATTCTTTAAGCAAGCATTCCTTTTACTGTGCACTATGACTTGTTTAAAATGAATCCATATTTTGTTGTCTGTTTTTTTTTACTATTCTTCACTCTTGTTTTGTTTAGAGAATGATCTATCGATATTTATCTATTGCTATCTTGATATTATCATGTCAAGTGTATGCACAAACAAATTTTACGCTTATCAATCAGCATGCATTAGAAGATCTTATTGTATTACCTGAGAGACCATTCAGTAGACAAGAAATAGTGCCTTCCGTAAGAATATGATAGCCCTGTCTCTGTTTTAATCGATACATAGATACGTGAAAGAAAAGATGGTCTAGCCCTGTATTGGGGCCAGGGAGACTTTGGTGAAAAGCGACTATCGTATTATTGTGATCAAGAAGGTGTTTCCATCATGATTCTTTCGTTTATTGCTGACTATGCAGGTGGACCCAAGAAGCAACCCATTTTGGATTTGTCGGATAATTGTAACAACGTCAATAACTGTATAGATGCAGCAAAAGACATTAAATATTGTCAAAGTAAAGGCATCAAGGTCTTGGTTTCTTTGGGTGGTGCTGTAGGTCCTTATCATCGCCAAGCATGGGATCCTGATCTTTTAGCTTGGTGGATGTGGAATAAATATTTGGGCGGAAGAGATCATACAGTGACGAGGCCGTTTGGTGATGTTGTCCTGGACGGCGTAGATTACGATCCTGAAGGTAGGTTCCGATAGCCTATGTTCATATACTTAGTTTTCTGTAGCTGTTGATGGCACCAACTATGATCGTCATATAGATACCCTACGAAAACTTTTCAAGACAGAATACCCTACACGAGATTATCTTATCACAGCTGCACCACAATGCCCAGACTTGGACTATTATTCAAAAAATGCTGTCTATAATATCCTTCATCCAAGACCCGGATACGATGCTTATCCTGATATTGTGTTTGTTCAATTCTATAACAACAACTGTGCTGCTTCAGGCTATAATCCCAGCAGAGCCTCTGCTTTTAATTTTGATGAATGGAACACATGGGCTCAAAAGAGTGAAAGCAAAGTCTATTTGGGCGTCATGGGAAAAGAAAATCATATGGATACAGGCTATGTGACCTATGAAAAACTTACAGTGATTTTAGACGATGTACAGCGTAGTAAAAGCTTTGGCGGTGTCATGATGTGGGACGCAAGTTATGCTTATTCAAATCCAGTGCCTTATCTAGGCGGTATGCAATACGGCCAAGCAGCCGCGCGGTATTTGAAACAATTATCTACACCTAGTTCTGCTCGACTGGCCAATGCTTTCAGTGGTATCAATTTAGCATTCAAGGAATTCAAGTTGCCCATCTTGGTGCCTGTAGGTGGGAAAAATGTGGAGATGTTACCATTGCCTTGTGCAGGTCAGCCTTTCTTGTTACTGAGAGCAGTGACTGGAAGAAGTTTGGCAGAAAGCTTTGGTTCTTCTGCAGAGTCAGTCGCTCAACATCTAGAAAGCCTTGGTATGAACGGTGATCATTTTATCAATCCTGGCTCTTATGTCTGTATGGTCTCTAAGCCTCGGTCAAATGATTCTCTTGTCATTGGTTATGTCTATAATTCTACCATGACGGATGATTTAACCATGTAAACATTTCATTTTAAAAATAAAATAGATACCTCTGAAATTATTTATTTAATTAGTAAGGATAAAAGCCTTCAAGGTTAGCGCGAGCAAAACATTCATTAGAGTATGTTTTGTTAAAGCTAACAAATTGATGATTGTACAACCCCAAATAAGACACAGATACTGGATTGTATTCCAATGTACAGATGGCAAATGGATTCTGGACTTGATTGAAATTACCACTGACAGCATTTACTTTAGCACAAGCTGAAGATGGGTTAGGATGGTTTCCGGCAAGAGGATTACAGTTCAATACAAAGATACTGCTTGTTCCGTTCTTCTTGATAGCGATGAGATATACCGAAGTGACTCCTTGGGCCATGACTAGGGAAACATTAATCCCAATAAAAAGTAAGTAGAAATGTAATAAAAAAAACATTATGTTAGAGAAAAAGCTCAAAAAAGGAAAATGAGATTTTTACACTTTGATTTATTAACATTCTTTCATGCCATTCTTCAACTCTTTGTCAACATAATCATGGTTTCAATTATAAAAAGACTTGATATGTAGTAGCCATATTTAAGGCTTTAATAGAGACAAAACAAAGATAAAGATACGTCATTTCAAAATACTAACATACGCTTTATTGAATGAAAAGAACCTGATACTGTAGCGAAATACAGTAAGTATTTGTTTGCAAAAACTAGGACGAGAATCTAAACCAGTTTCAATTGAGTCTCCAAAAAGATGATGTACGTAGACACAAAGCAAACTATACGAGATAGCTACTTTAGAAAGCTCTCAAACCCCAACTATAGTATTCATGTTATCAAGAAAAATGGAATGCCTATCATTTTTAATAGATCATCCATTCATTTATTTGAATGGACGAACACTACATGAAGTCATTACTTTATCCGATAGTCGATCATAAATGAATAGAGTTTGTCACGAATAGACAGGTACCCTTCAAAGGAATGACCATTAATCCCAGTAATCTTCACTGCTGCTTTTCGCTAGCACCATCACAGTAGCAGAAGACCAAGACTAATGCAATACTCTAATAGCCATACGAAGAAGTTATACCACCAAGGTTCCACGAATAAAGCATTAACATCAGACATATACAGTTGTACCTGGATCAAGTAGTGCAGTTTGAACTCGACAGACTATATTACTAGATTTGATTGTAGTAAAGATGGAATATCTAATAGCTATTAACTCTCAGAGATCTAAAACAAAAAGCAGTTTCAATCTTTAATCAAGTCAATGTAATCTACACTTTCTATATGACATGCTGTTCAAGGCCTCTTTTATTGAGAGACCTCAGCAATGAGACGCTATATGAATATACAGGTGTTGGATGTCTGATGGTTTTTCTATAATTTTCCTTGCTTAATCTTTCATTGATTCGAAGGGCAATCAGGATCCAACGGTTGATGTTATCCATGTATTGTTCAATATGTGTGTCAAACCTTTTCTATATGCAGATAGTCGAGCAAGATTAGGATTACCTTTCCAAGGACCAGGTCCAGCTGGAGTGTGTACCAGTTGATAGTTGATAGAAAGCAAGGCATGGTCAGTCCAACTGTAGTTGACAAAATTTTGAGTCATAGAAATTACATTGTCAGCATGAGGTAGAGTGCAAAATATATAGTCAATATGTGTGCGACTACCAGTGGTACTGACAATGTAGGAAGAGGATCACTTTGAAAACAATCTTGGAATGAAGTAAGAAGTAGATCATTCCAGCACGTATCAATGTTGGATTTACGGTAAATGTCATAGTTGAAATCGCCAGCAATAATAATAGGCAAAGACGTTGACCGTAAATGTGACATTAATGGTTGATTGGAAGATAACGTGCGAAAGAATGTGGATCGACTACTACGATAAGCAGGAGCATAAATATTGAGGATATACATAAAAGGAATGGAGGGTTCAGAGGCATGAGCGATAGACGCTAAGAGAAGCGGCCATTGGTAGAATTGATGGGTGGATGTGCTGTGATTTTGTAGTGAGATTTTAAGGAACAATGCACAGTGTTCTGTCAAAGACTAGATTTAGTCTGGAATTGAGATTGAGCTGTTTTTGTATATTAAGTGTAGATGCGTGTGTTTTTGTAAGCATAGAATGTCATATTTAGTTGAACGTAGAAAGCGGATGAATAAGGACTGTTTGTAAGGATCTGAAGTTTCGTAAGGCCACGACAATTAAGGGTGGCAATTTGCATAGACTTTAGGCATAGATTATCTTATTGAAAGTCAGGAGAGATACCTGTTGATCCACCTGTATTATGATTAGGCACCACTCTATGTCTCTCACCGTCATGATTAAATTTAATCTTTTTACGCTCCTGGATAAACCTTTCTAAGTCCAAAGCCTCTTGGGTTGGATTATTGCTTGGAATATTTTGAAGATATTCATCATCATCCTCTCCATCGGAGTCAATGATTTCTACTTCACTATCTCCTTGCTCTTTCATTTCATGATCCATCAATTCATGCTCGACTACTGTAATATCGTTTGAAAGTGTTTGAATAGTCTCGGTTGCTATTTGACTAAGAGGAACAGTAGTCAATGCAGCAGGAGAGACAATTTGCTTATGCTTCGCACTTTGTGCCAGTTGCTCATTGGGCAGGTTGGATCCTGATCTACTAGCCTTGTCTTTTGTGATCCCAATACGCTTATTAGGAGGGTGGCCTGATCCATGACTACGACGAGGACAATCACGGCTGATATGAACACGCTCATTGCAGTTATAACAACGACGAGTGTTAATGAGTTCCATGCAATCTGCTCGACAATGGTTGGATTTTTGACAAAACGACAAAATTGGGGCATTTCATCCCACGTAAGCAGAAGTTCACGATCAAATTCGGGCCAATCCACTACTCGACCAAGTTGCTCAGGCTCAGTCTTGTGAGGATTGTTCAGATCAACAACGATATATCCCTGGCTAAAAAATACAGCACCGTCCATATGAAATACCAGATCCAGGATTTCACCAAAATGGAAAAACGCTTTTTCATTTGCTCAACCTTAACTCGAGCAATTTTGGCGTTTTGAGGCAAGCTGCGGTAGCCTTTGATAGCCGTATTATCTTCCATCTGCAAACCGGAGTTGACCAATTTATTGTACACTTCTGAGTTGATATCCCAGCATGCTTCAATAAAGCATCTCTGCAAATACTTGCGCTCAACAAGTAAAGTGCCAAAGAAATAACACTTTTCATTTGTATTGAGTGACCCAAAAAAACTGTTTAAGGCCATTTACATAACGAATATTAGTGATATCAATCAAAACGCTATCTTTTTCTAAACCGACAAATATAAGGCGTAATGGTGCCTGAAGAAAGGGTGTTGGTACTAGCATACTTCGACTGGGAAGAACCAGAAGT